GTAAGACAATTAATTCCTTCTGAAAATAAAAACGAGTATTGTTGATCCCTCGTGCTTGTTCTGGAAAAGAAGCGTAGTGGTCTGTTATTTATTTCCTTTTACTGTATTTAATAGCAGCATCTTTCTCCTTTTATCATGATCGCGCGTGTTCTCCGGTGTACATGACCTGAGTTCCCTTTGAAGAGGCGTCGACTTCCAACGTCTGCAGTTGAAGTCATCGAGGTCTAGTTAAGCGAGGATCCCGTGTCCACACGCAAAGGTTTGCAAATAAACTCTGTTGAACACAGTGAAACAGCAGAGGCATCTCTATAGGCACGGAGGTCGGCTACGCGACTGGGGCGGCGGGACCAACTTCACGAGAAATCCGCATCTGGACCAGGTGGAGCAACAGGTTTGTCTTCTTTGAGCGTGGGCCTTTATCGCACAGGCATGATCTCAACCGACTTGGTGCGGTTTTTTTTTGACAAATTATTCTAAAGCGAGTGCCGCTCCGACAGACGTGGGGATGCGTTGGGAACAGAAATCAACTCCCTAACTCTCTACTAAAATGCGTCCTCATTACTCCCCCTCCCCAAAAAATGAGGGCCCTGCTTCCAGATTTATCTGTCGTGAGAGGTTCAGTTGTGAGTGTTCATTTTAGTGTCTCACCGCCCACCCCACATCTCTATTCCTGCACTGGGGACTGTTACCAATATCCTCTTCCCAAGGAAAAAAACAAAACAAAACCAGATGAAGTAGAGAAGTAACGTATGTGGAAATAAATGCAAAAGTTACTTATAAATACCCAGTTCTACGGCAGGGCGCTGCATGCTAGCAGAACTGAAGTTTACTGTGCAAGAATGACAAAGAAAGCAAGGGGATGTATGTGTGGAAGGAATCGGGCATACCTTGTGATTGATTAAGGCTTTGGACAATCACACGTTCATCTAGACGAGAGACGTGAGGTGTGCGCGTCTCGTAGAAAAACACAGGCGCGCGCATATGCACACGCACCGTCTCTCTGGGCAATTAAAGGAGCCAGTCAGCGGTGGGCGCTTCCCGCATTATAAACTCTTTAAATCATTAGCTGTCATGCTGTCTTGCCCAGGAAGACAGACGCCGTTCCATGGCTTACTTTTTATTTTATTTTAATTTTTTTTTGCTTTGCTTTCCGTGCGTTTTTTCCACTCTCTCCTTGCAACCTCATTTCTTTTCTTGGACCTTTTTCAGTCCCTTCTGTATAAACAAATCACCTACCAGACGGCCGACAAAAAGTGCAGTTCTCACTTCTGTCCAGAGGGGGCACCACAGGCTCAGAAACTAAACCCCCGAAGTGATTCCCGGGACGCCGTGGGCTCCGAGGTGGTGAAAAGGCGCGCGTCCGCCCACGTACCCAAGCCACCCACCCCCATACACACACACACACCAGCCCCGCTCCCTCCAGCATCGAGGAGGCGCCCTGTAACAGGGATTAGTCTCCGCAAAGTTGACTTTATCCGGGCTTCGGGCGCTACATGGCAGCCTTCGGCCATCACCAAAACGTGGCCGGCTTCCGAAGTTGACATCACTTCAGAGTCAACGGAATTGATAACGCTATCAAAAGAGGTCTAAACAGATCGTTCAGTTTTAGTTATGAAAAAAATGTACATTAATCTGTGTGTGTGGAGAGAAAGAGAGGAGGGAATCTATGCTCTAAAACCGCTTCTGCGCATCTTTCCGCCTCCTTCCAATGTTTTGCGTCATAACGCGGGAATAAGGATGTCTTTCTTTGCCCGTTGCAGCCCCTTCCTCTCCCCGACGCCCCGTTTGTTTGTTTGTTTGAAAGAAAAGGGACTTGAAGTTGCCACCCTGCGCAGCCCCACTGCACACAGTGAAACGAATTTGCATCGCGAAGGAACCACGCACTGGACTTTCTCGGCTCAGCTGTGAGTCAAACGCTCGTCGGCTGCCTTAGAGCGGCAGGGACCGCATACCGACTTGCTTCGGAGCAAGTTCCATGGAGTAAAATACTGAAGTCAACAAAACTTGGGAGAAAGTTTTGTTGACTTCAGTGGGGCCTCCTGCCTCCCAAGGTAGGTGGCGAACGGGGGGGGGGGTGTAGAAATGCGCCCCCTCCGGGGAAGTAGTTGTCCGCCTCCCAAAGTCATATGCTTACCTAAAGGAAAGGCACTTTTAATTATCCTCCCTACACGTGAAAAGCACATTGCCCCTTCTGCATCTCTCCCGACATTTCCTTCCTCCATGCCCTCACTCCTTTCCCATACGCAGGGGCAGGCAGGATCAGACTGCACGCGTGTTTAGAAAAGGGGCAGCGGCAGAAGGCGGACTCTCACGCACCAACACCCGTGTCCGTGTGTGCACACGGACACGCACAGCTTTCTCCCAAGAATCTCGGTATGGCTCGATCAAGCTTCCTCCTGCCTCGGTGCCCACTTTGGCCAGCCCAGCCTGGGTTTTCCACTTAACAGCTTCGCTCCCAGCGCGCCAAACGCTCCTCGCCCCGAACCTGCCTTAAGGGCGCCCGGCCGGTGTCAAGGGGAGCTGCGCTCGCTCGCTCGCTCGCTCGATCCCCGACCGCGGGAGATCGCCGAGATCTTCCGCTTTCGGAAAGAGGGCCCTCGGAACGGCCCGGCTCGGGCGATCGCCTGCCTTCGTGCGGCCGGTTTTGACCGGACCCAAAGGCTCTTTCATTTAAAAATGGCTTTCGGGGAGACTCCCTTCGAAGCAAGCCAACAGCCGAGGGACGCGCAGCAACGACGCGCGTACGAATAAAAGCCCCGCGCGAAAGCCTGCCCGGGCGGCGGCAGCAGTGGCGGCATCCTGATTTGCACCCCTATCCTGGCTCGCAGGGCCCAGATAAAGAGCAGGCGGTCAGTTGGCCGAGGCTCCAGAGGAAATTCTCCTCCGATGCCCAACGCAGAGCCCCGGCTTGCCCAGCAGAAGTGGGCCTCCCCAGACAAAATAAGATTAAAAAGGATGGGGGGGGGGAAACGACTCTCGGCCCCTCTTGTTTCTCCTGCTCCTCCATCTGGTTCATCGCGGCCTTCCCGACCTTGCTCGGCATCCCAGCTCCGAAGGCGGGGGAAGCGCTTCTGGGCGGCTAAACAATTCACAAGAGACGCTCCCTCCGCCTGAAACGGCACCTCTGTTTTTTAAAGGGCGCTTAATATTCCATTAGGGGACGGGGGGAAAATGGGTTTTTATAAAGACCGATCTGCCTACCTCTGTGTTGCGTTTGGGAGATCCCTTTCTTTTTTCCTGTTCTTCCTGATAAAACCAGTCTCTCGCCTAAAAGGCTTCGAAGCAGTTGACACGGGGAAAAAAACCCTAAAGAGATAATAAAATGAAGGAGCCGCTTCGGCAAGGAGGACCAGCAGCGCTCTTTATCAGAAGTAACTTGAATGGGGAACTAATTTTCTTTTTTAAATATAAGAGAACATAATCTGACCCTTTTGCCACACTTCGCGGTATATTTCACCCCCTTAGAGGGAAACGAACAGTGTGTTTCGCACACTATGTACTGGAAGGGTTCCTATTCATTTATGTATTTATTTATTATTTATTTATTTATTTAGAGTGAAAGTGTTGATGGGGAACGGGAACGGCTAGCCTCCTTTCTGCGT